CCGTAGGGATGGTGACAGGTTTCCTCCAGACGTGACACTTGGCATTCAGGCCAGACGTGACATTTGGCGTCTGGCCACTACCATAAAGGCCTGATTGGTGGAGTGCTGCAGAGATGGTTGTCCTTCTGGAAGGTTCCCCATCTCCACAGAATAACTCTAGAGCTCTGTCAGAGTGACCATTGGGTTCTTGGTCACCTCCCTGACCAAGGCCCTTCTCCCTCGATTTCTCAGTTTGGCCAGATCTAGGGTGACTCTTGGTGGTTCCAAACTTCTTCCATTTCAGAATGATCGAGGCCACGGTGTTCTTGGGGACCTTCAATGCTGCAGACATTTTTTGGTACCCTTCCCCAGATCTGTGCCGTGACACAATCCTGTCTCGGAGCTCTACGGACAATTCTTTTGACATCATGGCTTGGTTTTTGCTCTGACATGCACTGTCAACTGTGGGACCTTATATAGACAGGTGTTTGCCTTTCCAAATCATATCCAATCAATTACATTTACCACAGATGGACTCCAATCGAGTTGTAGAAACATCTAAAGGATGATTAATTGAAACGGGATGCACCGGAGTTGCTATTTCAATTCTCATAGCAAATAGTCTGAATACTTATGTAAATAAGGTGTTTCTGTTTTTTGTTTTGTAATACTTTTGCAAAAATGTGTAAAAACCTGTTTTTGCTTTGTCATTATGGGATATTGTGTGTAGATTGAGGATTTTTATTTATTTAATCCATTTTAGAATGAGGCTGTAACATAACAAAATGTGGAAAAAGGGACGGGATCTGAATACCTTCCTAATGCACTGTATATGATGGACTGTATATGAAAGACTCCCATCCCACATAGCCCCCGCTAAGCAACTTCTTCCCTCAGTCCCAGACTATCTCAGAGGCTAGGAGCTCATGGGATAAGCCCCTTACCATCAATATCCTGGCTAGGGGTTTCCCGAGCATGGACATGCACAATATGAAAGAATCTGGGTGTTGCGACCATCCCATGATGTAGCCGTCACTGGCTGACCACCTTCACCCCACACACTGTGCTTCTAACACTACTGGCACCCTGGAAAGACGGAGTGTATTTCTGCCTTTCCGTAAGACATACAAAGCCTTGGCCTTATCAATCAGAGCTCTAAACGTGACCTCTTTATTGTTGACTTACCAGGCAGAGTTACTGGAAGATGTGGGGAAGCAACTGGATTTGGGGACCCTGAATCGGGGTGCTTGGGATGAGGTATGTCATTTTATCGCATGTTCGCTGACTGTTAAGCGTTTTGCAAGGAGAACTGTTGAAATCAAGGCTAGGATGGCCCTATAGACCTCCGGTCATTCAAAGAACATTTGACTTCCCCCTGTTTCTTCACCCTATTGCTTTGCTGAACATTGTGGCCCATAATAACACCGCTAGCTTAGATGCCATGTCCAGAAACATCCTTCTCTTGCCTACAATATATAGATCGGTGTAAGCATTATGAAGGGACATCACACCTAACTAACCTATCAGAGGTAAAATTGAAAAACTCAACTCTAAAACTATATTTTGGTATTTTATTTAATGAGTCTGCTGTTGATACAGTCCCAAAATGTTTTGCATGCCAACAGTAAAGTTTTCAAGATATAGGATTTTCAAGAAGCAAAGTGTCACTTGCCACATCATTATGATGCGTTTTGCACCATATAATGCATTTTACATCATCATGATGATGTAAGTGACAATTTGCTTAATGAAAGTCCAATATCTTGAAAACTTGACTGCTGACATGCAAATCATTTTGGGACTGTTAACAATGGACAATTTTTTTTTTTTGTGGATTTATCCGTTTTAATTGGAGCTACTACCATATTGCAAATGGTAATATAGGGGAGGGGATGGGGCCTTATCTGAGATGCTGAAATGGAAAAGACAGTAAGAGTGTGCAGTACAGGTAGTCTTTATTGCAGTTGCGCTGCCCAGATTATCTATCTCACAACGGCTTGAGAGGTGTTTAAAATGTCAGAACCACATTCATATAGGCTAGTCTTGTGCAACTAGATGTGCGTCACAACTGCAATTATGAATTACCTTGCCTTTATCACTGCTCTATGATAGCCTACAACTGGTCAACTGGCCTACAAATGGCTTATTATTATTATTATTATTATTATTATTATTATTATTATTATTATTATTATTATTATTAACTGGTCATTTGTCTGCAATTGTAGTTAGCCCACAGGCTATTATTCTCCCAACCGCTCAATAAGTTGTTTCTTTAGGCCTATTTATGCAAATCTTTATTTAGCCAGTTAATTCATTGAGAACATATCTTTGACAATAACAAAATAAGTTAATTTGGTTGTGCTGTGTACGGTGTGAGGTAAGGAGAGCCAGCGTTTCCACTCATGTCAGTTAGAATATTACATTGTGCAACAAAGCATGATGCTGTATGTGACAAAGAACAGCCCTGATTTAATAATTGAAGGCTTAAAGAGAACCCTCTCTCACTTTGCTTAAAGTGGAACTGACAGCGTTTTAGCAACATGAAATCTTATAAAAAAATCTGTTCACATACACCACCAGGAAGAATTACAACTTTTTAAAAAACATTTTCTGACAAGCGAGAAGCGAGCACTTAGATATGGTCACTTTCACGTTTTAATAAATTCATAGAATGTTTGAGAATGACGTATACTAAGGCATTTGTGAAAATTCTATAGCAATATAGAGTAGGAAAACGGCCGTGCGTTTGGACAATTAATAGACACTGCAGTAAATAAAACCTAATAAAAACATCTGTCTTGTCCTGGACCGATGTCTATACAGACTGGTGCGTCATAGCCAATCAGAGCTACAGTAAGCCTATATGCAAATAAGCCATTTATACCACACAGGCCTGCCTTCATTCACTTTGAACTGGACTGTGTGTTTACAGGCAGTAGCAACAGCGTGACTTTAGATCATTAGAACGCATTCGCCAAAAGCCACAAAATGCACCTGAATGGATTTCTGCAAATATGTAAATACCACAGGAGTCCTCTTACATTTGGGAACTTCACAGTCCTATTGATCAAACAACTATGAATAAGTAGGCTCTCTGTTGCAAATGCACCTCAACAAGATCAACAACTAATGCTAGCCAGAGCGAGGTGAACTAAAATCTAATGAGGGAACACTAGCTAGATAAACCCTCTCAAACTTTTTCTGCTAGTTGGCCGTCAAAATTGCACTGATAAATGATGGGGAATAGTAGCCTGCTCGTCCTTCTGCAGCTTGCCTGCCAATGCATGCTGGTCCCAACCTATGTTTTGACAACTGAATGGGAACTTGCCTGCCTGCCAAATACATTTGATTGACAACTAAGAGATATGCCAACTGTGGATAAGTCGTTCAAGTTCAGCATAGCTAGCAAAGTGATTCACATTTCTTGCTAGCTAACCAAATAGCAAATGCATCTCTAGCTGTAGCCACTGAAAAACGATATAGGGGAAAAAGTCGGTCACTCACCCACTCCTCCAATGGCATGACATCCTCCCCGCAGCTAGCTAACGTTAGGCTCCTTGTTTTTAGTTTGCTAAATAAATAGATACGCTAGCCAGGGGTGTCAAACTCAATCAGCGCACGGGCCGTATTGAAAAAACACAGCAAATTCGCAAGCCAAACATGACATAGACAATTAGTTTTTAATATTAAAAAACGTCCAACTCCAACCCAAACTGTCAATTGTTTTATTTGAAAAACATATGGCCCTTTTATAATGTCAATTTACGTACATAGGATGCTGTATATAGCATTTTAAAATATTAAAACAAAAGAAAAGCGAAATAATATTTGTCCAGCCTTTGCTGCTATGCTTGCAGATATGTTCAAATGTTGCTGTAATAACCCAACATGTTTCGGTTATTCATTGTCAAGCTTTAAAACCAAAGCTACATTTTAGTAGCCTAGCTAGGACTGTGGCATGTGTCTGTGCGCTTTCCATCCACTGCATGCTGTAAACGGGACGAATGAAAGTGGCATGTTGAATTCACAGATGCAAGTGCATCAGACTGTAATTCCATAAAGTAGGTGACTCAACTGTTGCCTCGCTTGTGTGTCCTATTCGGCCCGCGGCCCTTGTGTTTGACACATTATGACTGACTTGTGATCATTGCCCTTGCTAGTTTGATTGTATTGACATTCCCAGCCTTAGTTACAGTCGTCCGTTTTTGTTCCAAATATTTAGTCATTGAATCTGAAACAGTGCATCCCGACTGGGTGGAGGCAGCAAACAATGTATCAGACCAGCTGTGATTTACAACCTTATAGCAATATATTGTTGACTACCAAGAAAAATATTGAATTATATTAATCATGCATTGAACTGCATCCATCTATTCTGACAACAATGCCTTACTGTACGTCATGGAATTTTGAGTCAAATAGAACCCTTTTTTTTTTTTAAACCTCTTTTATAAAGTTGGTTTTCTTGAATAAACTAGGAATTGTATATGTTTTACTGCTGATTGTCTGTTTGTTTCATATCTGCAAAGCAGTTAAAACGCTGTCAGTTCCACTTTAAAGAAACTGTGTGTTGCGCATGGTGAGGTATCCTGTAATAGACCTAAAAGGGGCTGTTTTAACTTCATGGTCAAAAAACCTCAAGTAAGTATGTGCCCAGACAGTGCTTCAAATTGGCTGCAGCAATATCACTGCATTCACAGGCAAATGTGGAAGAGAAACAAGAGGGCGCATGAGAGGCTGCTTTTCGATTCTCACCCTTTCTCATGCATTAACAATGGTGGAAACACCCTCCAGCCGACGCTTAAACCAATTCAACGCTTTCAAATCCATGATAGGGAGTGTTCAATTGCACAATTCAGGAGAAGGGGATGTGGGCATTCCGTGTGAGAGCCATAGGGAAAGACTGTGTGAGGTGGGCAGAGAAAGAGAGTGTGAGAGGGAATAACATGAATGAATAGCAGAGGTGCTGCAGTAAGAGAAAATATGAGGTAGATGGAGAGGGGGAGACTCCGAGAGGGATGGAGAGAAAGACAGAGCGAAGGTAAGACAGATGGAGAGAGATGATATATTCTGTGAGGGAGCGATGTAGACTTTATTGCAGACACACTGCAGAAGATGAACCTTATCCCCGCAAGAGCGGACTAGCAGAAGTAGGTCATCTCTTGCATTAAAAATAACTTTTCCCCTGTGGCTTCCAGCGCTAACACTGTGCTAGCGTGGAGTCGGTGACGAGTCATGTGCGACGGCTCTTAGTCATCAAGCAGACTGTCAAGAATTAAAACTTGAAAGCCTCGGATAAATAAGTGATAACGGAAATCCACCCTCCTGCCACATGGGAGTAGTGTTCCCTGTGAAATCTCTCCACATCCGTCTGAGCGGTTCCCTGCAGACATGTTGTGTTTGAGGGATTGGAGTGCATCCATATTCAGCCATGTTCACAGCTAGAGGGTAGATACCATGTTTTGTCTTCAAACAGTACAGAATGCTGTATGCCTTGTTTGGCTTTGAGAACACCTAGTCTGTATTGTCATTGATCCATGTTTTAATATTCGTCATTTCAAAGCAACTTTTTTTTTTTCTCCTTTTGTTTTCTTTCTCATTCCTCATTAGGAGAGATGTATCTGGAGAACACTAATCACTGCCTCATGCTGTACTGTACTGTGGAGCCTCCCCCAATAGTGATGTGGGTCATTTTGGTTCCCAGCCGGCCATTTCTGTTCAACTCGAACATCAAGAATATTGCACATCAGTGCAAAAAACAACAACCATGTCAACAATAAACCCTGCCATTTAGGTACCTACATGCTCGTGTGGGGGGATGTGTCTTCCCTATAAAAATGTAATTGACATCTCACCTCACCGACTTAAAGGTTGGAAGTAACACGCCGCAGGAAATCTGCCAAAAACAGTCAGTGGCCGACCATCCTCTGCTGTCCCTGCGGTGTGTTCTAGGCAGGGACCACTTACTGGGTGGTGTTGGTCATCTTTCCCAATTCGACATGTAGAATCTGCCTTCGCTAATGTCTTTCAACCGTGAGCCAGAGTGCCAGGGCACTTCACCCACACGATAACGAAAATGACACTTAAGAAATGCAAATAGGGGTGAGGAGGAGTCTACCGTGTCCGCAAGCGACTTCACCATTCATGTTCTCTATTCAGGGTTCACTCAAACATTAGTTTTTAAGCTTTGTTTTACTATTGAGTTACAGCTGATTTTGGGATTGTATATCAATTCGCTCTCCTTAAATATGTAATCTGATTTATTCGTTTCAGTCTCTGAATTGTTTAATCAATCTTTTGGCCGCCATCTCCTGATATCAGGGCATAAAAACTACAATAATTAGCCCAAAGCGCAAGTGTGGCGCATGTGCATCAAACTAGGCCCGAGCTTGTTTCCCTGGCTAAACTAGCTGGCTAGCTGAACTATGCTATTTTTCGTAGTCATTGCACCCTCAACTTTAAAACTTCTTTGCAAGTTATAAAAGCATGTAACTAATACATTTGCTGTAAAGAAACTTGAAAAGGATTGCTTGTTTTGTTGAATAGTCATGACTGGTTCAAGATATCTGTCATAAGACGCCGGTGGCAAAGGATATCATTGCTACTTAACACGGCTCCAAGTTCAGTTTTGAGATCCACATTGGCGTAGGTTAGCTACATGTTTCTGACTGGTCTTGGAACTGTGTCAGCGGGCAACCTCTCCCCGCTTGGCTTAATGGATATGTGATGATTTTGCCAACACAGTCAGATATGTACACAGTTTTGTAGCCTTAACCTTTTTTTAAACAGACTCTTATTTTGCCCTCAGAACATCCTAAATTAATCAGGGCATGGACTATACAAGGTGTTGAAAGCATTCCAAAGGGATGCTGGCCCATGTTGACTCCGATTCTACCCAAAGTTGTGTCAAGTTGGCTGGATGTCCTTTGGGTGGTGGACCATTCTTGATATAGACAGGAAACGGTTGAGTGTGAAAAACCTAGCAGTGTTGCAGTTCTTGACTCAAACCGGTGTGCCTGGCACCTACTACCATACCCCGTTCAAAGGCACTTAAATCTTGTCTTGCCCATTCACCCTCTAAATGGCACACATACACAATCCATGTCTCAATTCTCAAGGCTCCTTTAACCTGTCCACTCCCCTTCATCTACACTGATTTCAAGTGGATTTAACAAGTGACATGAAAAAGGGATCATAGCATTCACCTGGTGAGTCGGTCATGGAAAGAGCAGGTGTCGTTAATGTTTTGTACACTCAGTGTATAAGCTGTCAGCTAAGCCTGGGGGGTGCGTTCCAGAGCACTTTCCTGCCAACGGCCAGTCAAAAGCTGACACTGGCTGAATTTCACCCAGTCTTTTTGGTTATGGTATAGCTTTAAGGCCACATTCATGACCATGAGAGCTCATTATTTAAGAATAGGGGCACTTTATTCAATCAAAACTGGTATTCAGACATGTCTGTGGTCTAGGCCTGGGCCTAAAACTAAAGTATCCATTTGGTGCAGGAAATTGCATTTGCTTTAGGTTCTCAGCTAATCTGATGATTCACTTTTGTTTGATCCAAGATTACTCACTCGGTAAAGGCAGGAAGATGCATTTTTTTCTCTCTAGAACACGCGTCATTCTTCCTTCCATAATCTGTCTTGAGCTCCCCGCTCTCCTGTCACAACTGAATGGCAGATGGGGTGATTGCTTCTCCGGCTGTCCTAAAAGGCCCCATCCTCGCGTTCTTTTGATGAATCAATTATTCCCACACCATGGACGAAGTGCACTGTGTAGACTAGTTGACCAGCGGTCTTAAGCAGACCTCGCCGAGTGCCTCCAGCTGGTCTCTATGGCTTATCAACAGGGTAGGTTACTTTCTGAATGTAATCCTTTACTAATTACCTGTCCAAAATTTGTATCAGTAACAACTTTTGGATTACCCAAACTCAGTAACCTAATCTGATTACTTTCCGTTACTTTTTGATTATTTTCCCCTTAAGAGGCATTAGAAGAAGACCGAAAGGATCCATGAAACGCATTTGATGTGTCGTCAAAGTGATCTCTGAGTTGTGGTCAGACTCGCTCAGACGGGAATAAACAAACGTGCACATTTTTTCTATGCTGAATTGAATGTCATTGAGAAAACAAAGGTGTCATAATGTATTTTTGCACAAACATCCTTTCTGAATTTTAAAGTAATCCAAGAAGTAATCCCAGAGTTTTTCAAAAGTATCTGTAACCTGATTACAATATTTTAGCGGGTACAAAACTGATTACAGTTACTGTTGTTTTGTAATCTGATTACATGTAGCTGATTTTATATTTTTACATTTTAGTCATTTAGCAGATGCTCTTATCCAGAGCGACTTACAATTATTATTATTCTTTTATGGGGTGTGGTGGGGGGGGGGGTATATACTATTCCAGGTATTCCTTAAAGAGGTAGGGTTTCAAGTGTCTCCGGAAGGTGGTCAGTGACTCCGCCGTCCTGGCGTCGTGGGGGAGCTTGTTCCATCATTGAGGTGCACGAGCAGCTAATAGCTTTGACTGGGAACTGTGCTTCCGTAAAGGTAGGGGGGCTAGCAGGCCAGAGGTGGATGAACGTAGTGCCCTCGTTTGGGTGTAGGGTCTGATCAGAGCCTGAAGGTAAGGAGGTGCCGTTCCCCTCACAGCTCCGTAGGCAAGCACCATGGTTTTGTAGTAGATGCGAGCTTAAACTGGAAGCCAGTGGAGTGTGCGGAGGAGCAGGGTGACATGAGAGAACTTCGGAAGGTTGAACACCAGACGGGCTGCAGCGTTCTGGATAAGTTGTAGGGGTTTAATGGCACAGGCAGGGAGCCCAGCCAACAGTGAGTAGCAGTAATCCAGACGGGAGATGACAAGTGCCTGGATTAGGACCTGTGCCGCTTTCTGTGTAAGGTAGGGTCGTACTCTGCAAATGTTGTAGAGCATGAACCTGCAGGATCGGGTCACCACTTTGATGTTAGCGGAGAATGACAGGGTGTTGTCCAGGGTCACGCCAAGGTTCTTTGCACTCTGGGAGGAGGACACAATGGAGTTGTCAACCGTGATGGCGAGATCATGGAGCGGGCAGTCCTTCCCTGGGAGGAAGAGCAGCTCCGTCTTGCCGAGGTTCAGTTTGAGGTGGTGATCCGACATCCACACTGATATGTCTGCTAGACATGCAGAGATGAGATTCGCCACCTGGTTATCAGAAGGGGGAAAGGAGAAAATTAATTGTGTGTCATCTGCGTAGCAATGATAGGAGAGACCATGTGAGGATATGACAGAGCCAAGTGACTTGGTGTATAGAGAGAATAGGAGAAGGCCTAGAACTGAGACCTGGGGGACACCAGCGGTGAGAGCACGTGGCGCGGAGACAGATTCTCGCCACACCACCTGGTAGGAGCGACCTGTCAGGTAGGACGCAATCCAAGAGTGAGCAGCGCCGGAGATGCCCAACTCGGAGAGGGTGGAGAGGAGGATCTGATGGTTCACAGTATCAAAGGCAGCAGATAGGTCTAGAAGGATAAGAGCAGAGGAGAGAGTTAGCTTTAGCAGTGCGGAGAGCCTCCGTGACACAGAGAAGAGCAGTCTCAGTTGAATGACCATTCTTGAAACCTGACTGGTTTGGATCAAGAAGGTCACTCTGAGAGAGATAGCAGTAGAGTTGGCTAGAGACGGCACGCTCAAGAGTTTTGGAGAGAAAAGAAAGAAGGGATACTGATCTGTAGTTGTTGACATCGAAGGGATCGAGTGTAGGTTTTTTGAGAAGGGGTGCAACCCTCGCTCTCTTGAAGACTGAAGGGACATAGCCAGCGGTCAAGGATGAGTTGATGAGCGAGGTGAGATAAAGGAGAAGGTCTCCGGAAATGGCCTGGAGAAGAGAGGAGGGGGTAGGGTCAAGCGGGCAGGTTGTTGGGCGGCCGGCCGTCACAAGTCTGAAGATTTCATCTGGAGAGAGAGAGGAGAAAGAAGTCAAAGCATAGGGTAGGGCAGTGTGAGCAGGACCAGCAGTGTCATTTTACTTAATAAATTAGGATCGCATGTTGTCAAACTTCTTTTCAAAATGGTTGACGAAGTCATCCACAGAGAGGGATGAGGGAGGGGGAGGGGGAGGAGGATTCAGCAGGGAGGAGAAAGTGGCAAAGAGCTTCCTATGGTTAGAGGCAGAGGCTTGACATTTAGAGTGGTAGAAAGTGGCTTTAGCAGCAGAAACAGAGGAAGAAAATGTAGAGAGGAGGGAGTGAAAAGATGACAGGTCCGCATGTAGTCTAGTTTTCCTCCATTTCCTGTTCTGTGAGCTCGCAATGAGTTGTCAAGCCACGGAGCAGGAGGGGAGGACCGAGCCGGCCGGGAGGATAGGGGACATAGAGAGTCAAAAGATGCAGAAAGGGAGGAGAGGAGGGTTGAGGAGGCATAATCAGGAGATCGGAGGGAGAAGGATTTAGCAGAGGGAAGAGATGATAGGATGGAAGAGGAGAGAGTAGCGGGAGAGAGAGAGCGAAGGTTGCGACGGCACATTACCATCTGAGTAGGGGCAGAGTGAGTAGTGTTGGAGGAGAGCGAGAGAGAAAAGGATAAAAAGTAGTGGTCGGTGACTTGGAGGGGAGTTGCAGTGAGATTAGTAGAAGAACAGCATCTAGTAAAGATGAGGTCAAGCGTATTGCCTGCCTTGTGAGTAGGGGGGGACGGTGAGAGGGTGAGGTCAAAAGAGGAAAGGAGTGGAAAGAAGGAGGCAGAGAGAAATGAGTCAAAGGCAAACGTAGGGAGGTTAAAGTCACCCAGAACTGTGAGGGGTGAGCCATCCTCAGGACAGGAGCTTATCAAGGCGTCAAGCTCATTGATGAACTCTCCAAGGGAACCTGTAGGGCGATAAATGACAAGGCTGTTAAGCTTGAATGGGCTAGTGACTGTGACAGCATGGAATTCAAATGAGGAGATAGACAGATGGGTCAGGGGGAAAAGAGAGAATGTCCACTTGGGAGAGATGAGGATTCCTGTGCCACCGCCGTGCTGACCAGATGCCCTCGGGGTATGCGAGAACACATGGTCAGACGAGGAAAGAGCAGTAGGAGTAGCAGTGTTTTCTGTGGTAATCCATGTTTCCGTCAGCGCCAAGAAGTCGAGGGACTGGAGGGTAGCATAGGCTGAGATGAACTCTGCCTTGTTGGCTGCAGAACGGCAGTTCCAGAGGCTGTCGGAGACCTGGAACTCCACGGTAGTCGTGCGCCTAGGGACCACCAGATTAGAGTTGCAGCAGCCACGCGGTGTGAAGCGTTTGTATGGCCTGTGCAGAGAGGAGAGAACAGGGATAGACAGACACATAGTTGACAGGCTACAGTAATTACTATCCAACCCTGCTTATCAAATACACAAAGCATGGCAAATGTAGACCTGTGTCAACTGAGGCTTTATTTATCTATTTTATGTAGGCTATTTAACTAGATGAGTGAGTTTCCCGTGAATTGCTAGCACTATTAGAATTGAGCTATTCAATCACTGAGCTTAGCCATTGACGTGATAGTCTAGCCATTGATCTCATTGGGCCTAGCGATTTTGCAAAAATATGCAAATGTGGCTATATGCCTATGGTGATGTTCTAAGATTTACGTTAAAGTACAATCATTTCTTATGAATTATGGCATCGATGTACTCCATAGAACGAGTTCCATGCATCTTAGGTTTTGGATTTTTCTTGTTGAGTTCTGTTGGTGGTTAGCCATTAGAAGCCTTTGGGCTACTTTTTCCAAAGTATGTCATGGTGAACTGAAAATAGAATATCTTGATCAGTCATGTTTAAAAATTCAGATGCTCCAAAAAAAAAAAAGTTAAGCAGATCCAATTGTACTAACTCAGCAACTAATAATTAGATCATGCAAAAGCACCAAATCGACATGTTATTTGTTTGCTTCAAATCCTTTTTGAGATTCCTGTCAGTCAGAACAACAACTGCTCTGCTACTTTTTCTTCAGTGGGCAACCAACGTTTTCTTTTGTCAGAACTGCACTGTTCATTTTTTCAAGCAGTTTTTGAAGTACCTCCCTCCCTACCCACTTACTCATACTCTTTCGCACTCGCTTGATCGCTTTCTACTCATCCTCCGCCTTGTGTTTTGGGGAAAAAAGCTAGGTCCTGGCTGTCAATAAGGAGCTGCTCGACAGTTCATCTCTCAGCAGAGGAGCCTCCCTGGTTGCCAGGAAGCCTCTTTGATTTTCACACTGCACTTCCTGCCCGCTTCACACAGGGCTCGGGCTGCCAGATAAAAGGATAACAGCCACTCGTTTCCAGCCTCTTGCGTTCCAGCAAACGGAGAACCCCCCCCCCCCCCCCCCCCCCCTCCATTACCCGCAAACCCTTAACTAGAAGGCTGATTCACACGACACAGCCCTCGGGCAAAAATTTTTTTCCCTAATCCACTTGAGGTGGGGTATTTCCCTCCGCCGAACTGTCGGTATAAATGAGTCTTGTAAATGGGGTTCTTGGATTTTTATGTAGCAGACAGAATGCTTTGTGGTGCATTGAACCGGATTGTGCTGTGGTTTCCACATTTTCATTGTGTGTACGATGCATTGTTAGTGTGGCGTTAAATTAGGATTTTCCCCACTTTGACAAGTGCCACGTTAATCGATTGCTTCAGATTTAGTTATTTATATGTATACTGAATGCCGAATATGTTTTCCTGTTTTATGGGTATGTTGATAAGTGTATAATTTGTGTGTTTTCATTCAGGACGTACGCCTTGCGCCGGGTGCAGGATGCCTTCAGGGCGAACCGGAGCGTAGAAGACCCTAAAATGGTGGAGCAGCTCTTAAACCAGGGCAGAGACAACCTAGACATCATCCGGAGACAGGTAGGCCTACCACAGACACACACACACACACACACACACAAACACTGGTTCATGGAAGAACAAAGTTATTCCAGCGAGGACTTAAGTATTTTGATGCTCACAGCATAATCTACTTTTTCCCCCACAATAATTTATCCAAAGAAATGTTTTCCATTAATCATCCAACTCAACCAAAATATCACCTGGCCAGAATACCTCGGAGTCTGTACTTGAGTTTCTAAGAACCATGGGGGGTTATTTTTCCCCCATCCTCTTTACGTTGCTCACTCCCCCAGATATATGTTAGTTGAGCACCTGATTAGTGTCCACCTGTCGACTCTCGCACTGCGCCAGAGTGCTAATCACAACTGATGCCCTGCTGTTGGCCGCTTTGTTCCCATAATGCACCTCCAACCGCCCAGCCCATCCCATCCCATCCCAGGGGACCATGGCCAAGGCTGCAGCCCTCGCTCTCTCTCGGTCTCTGTCTTTCTTGGTGTCTCTCTCTTTATTTAGCTACGTCTATCTGTCGCTGTTTCTCGCTGTTGATCTCTCTTTCTCGAGTTTCTCTCTGGTTCTGAGTGTATGATTTGCACTCCATTCTATTGGGCATTGTCCTCTAACACCTAACCTTGGTTCCCCAAGGCTCTGTGTGTTGTGCTGATAACCAGCAGAAATTAATGACTTGGTCCATGACCTAAATAATAAAGAAGAAAGGCAATTGGCAAAACACAGTAATGTATGCATTGAGATGCATGCAGCTCGTCCAATGATATACATATTGTGACGTATATATTGTTTATGTCTGTCTATGGGCTTATCCTCCAGGCCTATACAATGAGGATATAGAATGAAAACCAATACAATTATGTAACATTGCTCTACATCTCGCGAGCGTTCTTCGAAGTCTAGAGCTAATGTCGAGAGAGACTAGTACTGTTAAGATAGCTAATGTGTGTGTAAGTGAAGCTGTGTGGGTGGCACTGCCCACTGCTCTGTCACTGAGCCAGAGCAGCTGCGTACGTGTGTACTTACTGTGATCTGTGTGTGTGCTTGCATATCCCAGCAGATGCGAAACAGCCTTATGTAGAGGACAAGGCCCACGTCTCCCACACACACCACATGCATATGGATGCTCAAATATACACCCTTGTTATATACACACCAAGCATGTCGTGACAACCTCAACCTTGTGTGCCCAAGCAAGTATAGCACTTTTGGCACAGAGAATATTCTTGGCTCTCTGCCTCTCTCTCCAGCGGGCACCACAGTGTGAGTGCCAACGCAGGCGGGCATGAGTGGCACCGCACTGTGTTTGGGTGGAGTGAGTCACACTATGCCCACTCACCCCCTCAACCACACACACGCAGGCCCTCCTGCATACACATGAAGCCTTACACAACCCCGTGTAATATGTTGTGTGTTTGATAATGACAGATTGGTGTCTTTACCACATGCAGTACGTGTATGTGGTGCATTGCTGATGGGATAAGGATGACTAAGCCATTCACTTGCTCACCAATTACTCTGTAGTCCCTGTATACACAGCCCTCTCCAGCTTCAAAAGAAGAGGCTAGATCTTTATTCATCCATTTGCACCAAAATGTATTTGCCGTCAGACTGTACCCAACCTGACACACCGCACACAGAACAGATAAAATCAAATCAAATGTTCTTTGTCACATACACGTGTTTAGCAGATGTTATAGCGGGTGTAGCGAAATGCTTGTGCTTCTAGCTCTGACAGTGCAGTAATATCTAACAATTACACAACATATATCCAATACACACAAAAAAGTAAGGAATGGGATTTAAGAATATATACATACAGTGGGGAGAACAAGTATTTGATACACTGCCGGTTTTGCAGGTTTTCCTACTTACAAAGCACACTTCAACTGTGAGAGGCGGAATCTAAAACAAAAATCCAGAAAATCACATTGTATGATTTGTAAGTAATTAATTTGCATTTTATTGCATGACATAAGTATTTGATACATCAGAAAAGCAGAGCTTAATATTTGGTACAGAAACCTTTGTTTGCAATTACAGACATCATACGTTTCCTGTAGGTCTTGACCAGGTTTGCACACACTGCAGCAGGGATTTTGGCCCACTCCTCCATACAGACCTTCTCCAGATCCTTCAGGTTTCGGGGCTGTCGCTGGGCAATACGGACTTTCAGCTCCCTCCAAAGATGTTCTATTGTGTTCAGGTCTGGAGACTGGCTAGGCCACTCCAGGACCTTGAGATGCTTCTTACGGAGCCACTCCTTAGTTGCCCTGGCTGTGTGTTTCGGGTCGTTGTCATGCTGGAAGACTCAGCCACGACCCATCTTCAATGCTCTTACTGAGGGAAGGAGGTTGTTGGCCAAGATCACGCGATACATGGCCCCATCCATCCTCCCCTCAATATGGTGCAGTCGTCCTGTCCCCTTTGCAGAAAAGCATCCCCAAAGAATGATGTTTCCACCTCCATGCTTCATGGTTGGGATGGTGTTCTTGGGGTTGTACTCATCCTTCTTCTTCCTCCAAACACGGCGAGTGGAGTTTAGACCGAAAAGCTCTATTTTTGTCTCATCAGACCACATGACCTTCTCCCATTCCTCCTCTGGATCATCCAGATGGTCAATGGCAAACTTCAGACGGGCCTGGACATGTGCTGGCTTGAGCAGGGGGACCTTGCGTACGCTGCAGAATTTTAATCCATGACGGCGTAGTGTGTTACTAATGGTTTTCTTTGAGACTGTGGTCCCAGCTCTCTTCAGGTCATTGACCAGGTCCTGCCGTGTAGTTCTGGGCTGATCCCTCACCTTCCTCATGATCATTGATGCCCCACGAGGTGAGATCTTGCATGGAGCCCCAGACCGAGGGTGACTGGTTGGTAGGTGATCAAATACTTATGTCATGCAATAAAATGCAAATTGATTACTTAAAAATCATACAATGTGATTTTCTGGATTTTTGTTTTAGATTCCACCTCTCACAGTTGGTGTACCTATGATAAAAATTACAGACCTCTACATGCTTTGTAAGTAGGAAAACCTGCAAAATCGGCAGTGTATCAAATACTTGTTCTCCCCACTGTATATGGACAAGCAATGACAGAGCGGCATGGACTAAGATACAGAAGAATATTATAGAATAGAATGCAGTATATACATATGAGATGAGTAGTGCAAGATATGTAAACATTTATTAAAGTGACTAGTGTTCCATTTCTTAAAGTGGCCAGTGATTTCAATAGGCAGCAGCAGCCTCTAATGTGCTAGTGATGGCTATTTAAAAGTCTGATGGCCTTGAGATGGAAGCTGTTTTTCATTCTCTCGGTCCCAGCTTTGATGCACCTGTACTGACCTCACCTTCTGGATGATAGCGGGGTGAACAGGCAGTGGCTCGGTTGGTTGATGTCCTTGATGATCTTTTTGGCCTTCCTGTGACGTCGGGTGCTGTATGTGTCTTGGAGGGCGGATAGTTTGCCCCCGGTAATGCATTCGGCAGACCGCACCACCCTCTGGAGAGCCCTGCGGTTGTGGGCGGTACAGTTGCCGTACCAGGCGGTGATACAGCCCGACAGGATGCTCTCAATTGTGCATCTGTAAAAGTTTGTGAGGGTTTTAGGTGATAAGCCACATTTATTCAGCCTCCTGAGGTTGAAGAGGCTCTTTTGCACCTTCTTCACCACACTGTCTGCGTGGGTGGACAATTTGAGTTTGTCGGTGATGTGTACGCCAAGGAACTTGAAGCTTTCCACCTTCTCCACTGCGGTCCCGTCGATGTGGATAGGGGGGTGCACCCTCTGCTGTTTGCTGAAGTCCACGATCATCTCTTTTGTTTTGTTGATTTTGAGTGCAAGGTTATTTTCCTGGCACCACACTCCCAGAGCCCTCACCTCCTCCCTGTAGGCTGTCTAGTCATTGTTGGTAATCAAGCCTACTACTGTTGTGTCGTCTGCAAACTTGATGATTGAGTTGGAGGCGTGCTTGGCCACGCAGTCATGGGTGAACAGGGAGTACAGGAGGGAGCTGAGCACGCACCCCTGTGAGGCCCCAGTGTTGAGTATCAGCGAAGTGGAGATGTTGTTTCCTACCTTCACCACCTGGGGGCGGCCCGTCAGGAAGTCCAGGACCCAGTTGCACAGGGCGGGGTTCAGACCCAGGGCCTCAAGGTTAATGATGAGCTTGGAGGGTACTATGGTGTTGAATGCTTAGCTATAGTCAATGAACAGCATTCTTACATAGGTATTCCTCTTGTCCAGATGGGAATGGGCAGTTTGCAGTGTGATGGCAATTGTATCGTCTGTGGATCTATTGGGGCGGTAAGCAAATTGAAGTGGGTCTAGGGTGACAGGTAAGGTAGAGGTGATATGATCCTTGACTAGTCTCTCATAGCACTTCATGATGACAGAGGTGAGTGCTACACGGCGATAGTAATTACATTTTTTACCAGTTACCTTTGCTTTCTTGGGTACAGGAACAATGGTGGCCATTTTGAAGCATGTGGGAACAGCAGACTGGGAAAGGCAGAGATTTAATATGTCCATGAACACACCAGCCAGCTGGTCTGCGCATGCTTTGAGGACGCGGCTAGGGATGCCGTCTGGGCCGGCAGCCTTGCGGAGGTTAACATGCTTAAATGTCTTAATCACGTCGGCCATGGAGAAGGAGAGGCCACAGTCTTTGGTAGTGGGCCTCGTCAGTGGCACTGTGTTATCCTCAAAGCGGGCAAAGAAGGTGTTTAGGTTGTCTGGAAGCGAGACGTCCGTGGCTGGTTTTCTTTTTGTAGTCTGTGATTGTCTGTAGATCCTGCCACATACGTCTCGTGTCTGAGCCGTTGAATTGCGACTCCACTTTGTCTCTATACTGATGTTTTGCCAGTTTAATTGCCTTGCGGAGTGAGTAGCTACACTGTTTGTATTCTGCCATATTCCCAGTCACCTTGCCATGGTTGAATGCGGTGGTTCGCGCGTTCAGATTTGCGTGAATGCTGCCGTCTATCCACGGTTTCTGGTTAGGGTAGGTTTTAATAGTCACAGTGGGCACAACATCACCTATACACTTCCTGATAAACTCTGTCACTGTTTCAGTGTATATGTCTAAATTATTTTCTGAAGCTACCCGGAACATATCCCAGTCCGCGTGATCAAAACAATCTTGAAGCATGGATTCCGATTGGTCAGACCAGCGTTGAATAGTCCTTAGCACGGGTACTTCCTGTTTGAGTTTCTGCCTAATAGGAAGGGAGAAATAAAATGTTTGCCGAAAGGAGGGCGGGGGAGGGCCTTATAACCATCCCGGAAGTTTGAATAGCAATGGTCGAGGATTTTAGCAGCGCGAGTACAACAGTCGATATGTTGATAGAACTTCGGCAGCCTAGTCCTCAAATTTGCTTTGTTAAAATCCCTGGCTACAATAAATGCAGCCTCAGGATATGTGATTTCCAGTTTGCATAAGGTCCAGTGAAGTTCTTTGAGGGCCGTCGTGGTATCTGCTTGAGTGGGGATATACACGGCCGTGACTATAACCGAAGAGAATTCTCTTGGGAGACAATACGGTCGGCATTTGATTGTGAGAAATTCTAGGTCGGGTGAACAGAAGGACTCGAGTTCCTCTATGTTACTACAATTACACCATGAGTGGTTAATCATGAAACACACTCCTCCACCCTTCTGCTTCCCGGAGAGATATTTATTCCTGTCTGCGCGATGAACTGAGAACCCATCTGGCTGGACCGATTCCGACAGAATATCCCAAGAGAGCCATGTTTCCGTGAAACAGTGTATGTTTGCCCGTAGTTCGTCGACTTTGTTATCCAAAGATTGAAGATTAGCGAGTAGAGTACTTGGAAGCGGTGGGTGGTGTGCGCGCCTCCTAAGTCGGACCAGCAGGCCGCTCCGAGTGCCTCTTCTCCGCCGGCGATGTTTTGGGTCAGACGCTGTAATCAGTTCAGTTGCCCTGGGGAGAGCAAACAAGGGATCTGCTTCGGGAAAGTCGTATTCCTGGTCGTAATGCTGGTGAGTTACCGCCGCTCTGATATCCAGTAGTTTTTCCCGGCTGTATGTAATGATGCAAAACACTTTCAGAGCTGCTAATGTAAAAAAAAATACCAAAAAATACATAAATACTGCAAAGTTTCCTCAGAGATAGTCGCGAGGCTGCCATCTTCGTCGGCGCCAGGTCAATGTGCATAGGAGCATTAAGTGCCTTGCACAAGGGTACAATCGCATATTTCCCCGTCAGCCCTGGGATTTGAACCGGCAACCCTTGGGTTACTCGCTCGCCTCTCTAACCTCCGGGCTAGCCTCACAACCCACCGTGTTTATCTTGCTTTGTCGCTTTTTTTTTTGCCATTTGTTCTGTTGTCTGCTCCACCATCATCCCTACTCCTACACACGGTTACCAAAAAAGCCCGGGGGGGGGGGGGCATTCATTTTAAGCCCTACCCTTGCGTACGACGTTCAGGCCCTACCCTATCCAGGCCCAATTGCTTCTGCCAAATTTAAGGGCCAGCCCGAAACCCGATATCAGAAATATCTTCCTCTGATAGTAAATCCATTAGCTGCTCCTCTCTGTCATTTGCTCCCTGGACGCTGCTCGCTATGCATGTTATCTGATAATGGCGGCTCTGAGTAGTGTTGTTAGGATATGATACCAGATTTTCCTTGGCAAAAAAGAACACGAAGCAGGCTAAACTCTATGGTCGTTTTAAAACCTACTTTTGTAAAATATTGTGTGCTATAACTGGGTGACAACATAAGGCTGTTTTTTCCAACATTAGGACAGTTTTCCTCAAGAAATTGAGTCAAGTTCATGTTTTGTTTCCTTTGCTTCCTTACTTCCTAGTAACGCGATACTGTTATCGTGACAACACTAGCTCTGAGTATCCATAGCAACGGCTCCGCTTGGGCCGACTAGACATGAGAGAGCAGTTAGCTACTTTTCATCACTCTAAACTCCGACAAAATTCAATGAACATTATTATATATAATCTCTCCTGTCTTTTATTTGACGAGGTTGAAGCACTTCTGACACCATGTTATGATCTTAGTCATATGACTGTACTGTGCAGCATAGCACGAGCAAATGGGTCGGCTTCAAAATGTTATCAAATTATTAAGTCCCCTGCCCGGCCTGTCGGGCTCGGGTCGGGTAGCAGAGCTCTAGGATATATACATTATTAATATGCCCCCTATCTCAAAATACACTTTAGTTAGGGGAGGGGGGAGGGGGAGGGGTAAAAAGCATCAAATCTCTGGCTTCAGGTTCAGCAATAGCTCTCACAGCACTAGAATCCCATTTCTATAACGGCGTGCTTGGCAGTGTGACGAAGGCAGGCTAACGAATTTCAGATCATTTTGGCTCACACATTTTTTTTTTAAATGCCATTGATGAGTAACTCGGCTAAAAACTGTATATACCCAGCCACAGGACAACAAAGGCATGTTTATTGTATAGCCAGGGCTCCAAGTGCAACCATTTGGTTAGAAATTTTAGTTGGTCACCTCACTCAACAACATTTTTGTGGTGTCTGGCTAAAACCATGATTTGGTCAGACAGTTAAAGATGCAGTCCGGGATCTTAAGCACTTAGAAATTCACAACATATTGTCATTTTCTATTTGTATTTTCAGGATGGAGCATATACGAAATGGATGACATGGTGCACAATTTTCAGGGACCCGTTTTGGGTAGTGAGCACCACTTTCAAAACTACTGGCTGAAATTATTCAAAAGCTCTGGAGCATCACTTTAAGTAAACATACATTGATTTGACTCCTGCCATGAAAGTATCTGCCCTGCCCCTGACAGTGCCTATTTTAGCTGGTGGCTGTGATGAGCGAGCCTTTTTCACTCCCTCTTCCGAATGTGCGCTCTGAGTATAGGGAGAGAAAAAATGCATTCTGATTGTGCAACATTTCAAAATGCAATTGCAGGGAAAAATACTGCTTTGGAAGCAAGTATACTGTTAGTTGAAGAGAGGAGGGTCTCGGCTTTCTGTGGGTATCAGATGTATTGCTGAACTCTCAATATTGAGCGAAATTGCACAATTTTACAACCAACGTTTCTGGCATGACTTTGAGATACGGAGCCGAGTTGGCCGTTTGCGTTTCTGAGTTTTGGAGGAAGGAAATAACTTTCTGTATCCCCCCTATCCCCAGCCAGTCCTATCAAGCCCCCGGGAAAAATTTGCTCGACTGTATTTCCAAAAGCTGAATGAGATTGCTTTCGGGGCTGCACCCATCTGTTAATCTGCACTACTTAAAGGTGGCCAGCTTCAATTTGAGAGGGCGATATAACTTCCCATGATAATCCAGATAGAGCCGTAGTGCTAAAGTTAGCATATTCTAATATTGCCATTATTGCTATAATGTAGTCCTTATCCATAGCAATTTACACTTAGCAAATGCTGTCCCTATGTTCCCACCAATTTAGCCGTTTGAGCCACTGTGGGGGGTTTTGTTACATCAGACAGACATACTCCTGGCCCCTGATACCAGTCATGGTGGGCTAATCTTTCCTATGGGGGTTTGAAATATCCCTTCCCTCATGTGAGTCATGTCAGTTACTAGTCTTTCTGCTAGACACCCCTGTTCTAACTGTCCCTTCTATTCTTTCTCATCTCTGCCCTTTCTTGGTCCTTTGCTGCAGTAAATTGTCGGTCTTTGATACGTCGGCTTGAATGTAACTATGATGGATTGCACCTGCAGGATGGTATTTATGTTGGGAACCGCAGTATGATCTTGCCAAAACTAATGTGGCCTTTCTCTTAATGGGAGAACAAATAAAAAAGATCCCTTTGTACAAATGCCATTGGATCTGCTTGAGCGTGTCCTTTTTGTTCTCTCTCTTTTCTATTTCTCTCTGTCTGTGTGTGTGTGTGTGTGTGCCTCCATGTACCAGACATCGTCCGTCAGCCCGTATCGGATCCTTGAGAAATGATATTGCCAGCGAGTGACAATTCTATGACCATGACTTCCATTGCACTCTTGCTTGAAATAAACTATGGATCTGATTTACCTATCCAGTGTTCCCGCTAATATTGTACTCTGCAGGGCAATCCTTCACAAGTGGCTGCTACTAATGGCACTTGATGTCAAAGCCTTTCAATCATTCTGTGCAATGAAGATGAAATGTCAGTTTAGTGAATTATATCGGACATGTACTGTGCAGCGACACAAGGCTCTGTAGCAGGACCCAACTACGGCCCATTCAATCTGGCCCTCGGGAGGTTTGATTGTTATGGTTTTAAAAAAAACACTCCAGGCTACTCTTGAACGTCTAAAACTAGATAATAATATAATAATAATATGCCATTTAGCAGACGCTTTTATCCAAAGTGACTTACAGTCATGTGCGCATACATTTTTACGTATGGGTGGTCCCGGGGATCGAACCCACTACCCTGGCATTACAAGCGCCATGCTCTACCAATTGCGCTACAGAGGACCAAAGTATATAGAAATTATAATGGACCTATATATTTTACAATAATAGCAATTTTCTGAATTTCGAAAAATCAGGACGTGGCCAAAATGTTTGCCCACCCCTGCTCTATAGGCTAGCCGCTACTGGCACAATAGGGCTGTCCTAGTGATGTGATGTCACACTGCACATATATTTCATCAGAACCACAAACATGGCTCAGTGGAAGTCAGAAGGCAGAAAATCATGGAGTGCAGCAGAGATTGAGGGATACATAATAAGTCTGCCGTGTACAGAACCAACTGTTTTCTTAGTTATCAGGTTTCTCTTGGGTCACTTATGGAGAAATGGTACAGCATCCATCTTTGGAGACCTCGAGTATATTTCAGTATCATGTGTCCTCATCCAAACATCTCATAAAGATTGCCAATCTCAAGATGAAAGAAAGATGTGTTTTGGAAGACAACGTGCATCTCATTATCTTCATAATGAGCACACGGCATTTTGTGTGTGAATGTGTGTGTGGTGTGTGCATGCACAAGTGTGTGCTTGTCTATGTGTGTACACACTTGTACAATTGTATGTGTGTGGGCCTTGAACAGAGTGACTGGCATAACCCAGTAAGCACATTAACACATCCGTAGGAGGCGAAAGCATGTGTCTCCATCACTCCTGATTCAGGACTAAACAAGCTTTAAATGGCTCTTCTTCCACTCTCACTGAGTGGGAAAACAGGGGAGTTGAGGAATGTCCCCTTTGAGTCATTACCCATGCTGCCCCGTTGCTCTGGTCGCTGCCCCGGGTCAGATAACCACCCACATTGTCACATTCACACACAGTTCTGTGTCCTGTGACTGCAATTGAAGATGCTAGACCGTTACAAGAGGGGAGCGAGAGAGAGTGTGCATCAGTGGGGTGCTTAGATAAAGAAATGAGATGCGGGGGGGAATGGGTGAGGGAGAGGTTGCTGAAGCGAAGTAGAGACGGGTGCTGTAATGGGAGAAAAATAAACTGAATGTAAGAGTGCTTGGAGAAATGGCAGATATACAATCAATGTGTTTGAGGGGATCAGTTGTTTTAAGCAAGGCAAGGTGCAAAATCCAATTTTGATCACAATGTTATTTGGACTGTGATTTGTAGATCAATGATTCTGCACACTGATTGCAATGTAGTTGCTCTCAAACATGCACAATATAATGTGTCTAGAAATGGGGTTGTCTTGACCTGATTTGCTACTGGTCGCTATGTTCCTTCCCTAACTCCACTACAGTGTCCTGGAGTTGGCTACATTGCTTCAAAGGTTCAGTGAAGTAAAACATGTGGCTCACACAACCACTTTCCATCCAGGTACAATGAAGAACCCAATAAAATTTGACCACATTGACCCACCTGTGTTTCTCTTTTGGTTTTAATAGAGTTTTAACAGCTGGATCCGGACCGCTAGCCTCTTATCCAATAATGCCTCTGAGCACCTGTGGGGAGTGAGGCTGTAAAGTGCCCAATAAAAGCGGAATTGTTTGCAGAGAGCCTGGCAGGGGCTGCCAAATAGCACTGTGCCAAATATACTGCTGAGCAAGCTGGGGAGAGGTAGATGTATTCCTCCTGAGCTTCCACCACCGAACGTTGCATTCTATTCACCTCCATCTTCTCTCCTATATTCCTCCTCTGGCTTCTTCGTCCTCTCATAACTCTTCTCTCTCCCTTCCCTCATAACTCTTCTCTCTCCCTTCCCTCTTCATCCAGCCTCATGCCGTTACGGAGCTGGATTTTGAATGGTACGTTGTCTCTTATTTTGAATCTGCGTATTAGTCTGCATACTTTCTCAAACTGTCTCTCCTGCTGCTCTTGCAGGCCTACCTTCTCACTAAAACAACGGGCTTCCTGACTGAGGCTACTCCTACTTATTCGGAGTAGAAGTGAAGGTCTTCTTTTTTGGTTCTCAAATGAATGTTCTCTAAGGAAGGTGTGTGTGTGTGTGTGTGTGTGTGTGTGTGTGTGTGTGTGTGTGTGTGTGTGTGTGTGTGTGTGTGTGTGTGTGTGTGTGTGTGTGTGTGTGTGTGTGTGTGTGTGTGTGTGTGTGTGTGTGTGTGTGTGTGTGTGTGTGTGTGTGTGTGTAAGCTTGTGTTGCTACCAAAGGAGTACAAATTATTTATCTTTGAGACAAAACACAGGCCTTAACAAAATCACCAAATTCCAAAAGCTTTAGTATCAATTTTCCAGCTAGATGTAGCCTATAAAAACCCAACCAATGAGATATGACTTACCCAACCTCGTCGATGTCTCTGTACTAACTGCTAAACCCAACATTGTAGATTAGAATATCACCTTCTACAACTTCACCTATTATGACATCACGTCTCACTGTGACATCAGGCTTTGTAGCATAAAGCTCAGTACAGAGTCAATAGCTGCGATAGTCTGATGGCCTGTTATTACACACTTGTGGTACCCCGGGCGGTAAATCATTGGAAATGTAATAATCAATGCAATTCCCCCCTCGTTTCTTTCAATGCAAAACCCAAAACTGGTGTGCATGCCAAAGAGTTATATTTTCATGTCATCTGACTGTAGCACCGGTTTCAATCCAAGTGCCGATGCCGTTTAGCAAACTCCAGGCGTTTACATTTGTTGGATTACATATTGAGCTCTTTGGCCACGCGTACCAGGTGTGGGTTTTGCATCGAAAGAAACATGCATGACCAGAAAAGAACCCCATACCTACTGTGAAATATGGTGGTGGGTCTTGGATGTTATGGGGCTATTTTGCTTCCACCCTTACTTGGGCCCTTTTTTAAGGTCAACGGCATCATGAACTTTACCCAGTAATTTAATAGGGTCTCTATGGTTCTATACAACAGACTATTAATTGTTATGTTGACCTTTTCTCTGATAGGCTGTGCTGGGGCCTATGTTTTATTCCTTTTTAGATTGTGTGTGTTGGACAACATTACATGACCATGTCTCTTTTGTAGCTACAGTATCATCTTGTCTTTCTCCTTGTGTCTTTTGCTTTACTTCCAATCCTTCTGAATGAGTGATGCAATCCATTGACTCAGAAAGGCAATGTAAGAATGGTAGATAGTTATATGCAACTATTTCATACAAAAGCTAGGCTATCCGTGTAATATTTTGTAAAGGAAGCTGGTTCACAAACAGAAAGAAGTGACAGTAGGCGGTCTTTATATCTTTATCTGTTATTTTTAGCCACATTGAAGATGCCATCAAATGGGACTCACACACACACACACACACACACACACACAGCGAAAGTGCATATAGATTTTTATTTTCTCCTCCAAAACACACACACTGATTTTTCAGGGTCTGAGCCCATCATGTTGGCTGTCTAGCTTGTTATAATTGGAGAGGAAGATCCGTCTGGTCACTAATGTGTAGGCTAGATATTTCCAACATTTGTTAGCTAAAGGGTTAGTATGGTAAATAATGGTGATGGGGGTTTATTTTGGGGGGGATTTGGATACCCATTTGACAAATTATGTTGTGGAGCTGAGACTTACATTTTACATTTTTACATTTTAGTCATTTAGCAGACGCTCTTATCCAGAGCGACTTACATGAGCAATTAGGGTTAAGTGCCTTGCTTAAGGGCACATCGACAGATTTTTCACCTAGTCGGCTCGGGGATTAGAACCAGCGACCTTTCGGTTACTGGCACAACGCTCTTACCCACTAAGCTACCTGCCGCGACTTGAAATAAGCCAGGGATTTTAAATGTGGAAGAACAATGAGGAAGATGTCAGGGTAGAGAATCGGATGTGAAATAGCACGTCTTTCCCTCCTAAAAAGTATTTTTGCCAGACATTGTATGGCGAAGACACCATTTGGTTCAAGGCTATTCGGTTCAAGCTACTTTGCCTGGAATCCACAAACTCAATGGTTTGGTTGGTCACGTGATGGTTCACTCCAAAGTTCGTCTGTTTTCAAATACCAAAAGTGATCTGTCACAATAAGTCCATGTCCCACGCCATGTCTTCTATAGATCCAGCTGTGTTATTCATCACTTCACACTTACATACTCTCAACGCTCCTTATTGAAGTATTTTGCCTTCTTTTAGACACATTTTACATTTAGCAGACACTCTTATCCAGAGTGATATACAGTTAGTGCATTCATTTTAAGATAGCAAGGTGGGACAACCACATATCACTGGCATAGAGGAGGAGGATTATTTAAGATACTGTTTGAAGGTAGGGTTTCAGATGTTTTCGGAAGATGGTCAGGGACTCTGCTATCCTAGCTTCAGGGGGAAGCTCATTCCACCATTGGGGTGCCAGGACAGAGAAGAGCTTGGACTGGGTTGAGCGGGAGCTGCCCTTCCCTTAAGGTGGGTGGGCCAAGAGACCTGTGGTGGAAGAATATGTGCTCTGGTTGGGGTGTAGGGTTGGAGCATAGCCTGAATGTAGGGAGGAGCAGTTCCTTTTGCTGTTCCGTAGTTAAGCACTATGGTCTTGTAGTGGATGCAAGCTTTGACTGGAAGCCAGTGGCGTGTGCGGAGGAGCGGGGTGACATGAGAGAACTTGGGAAGGTTGAAAACCAGGCGAGCTGCAGCTTTCTGGATAAGAGCCCAGCCAACAGCTAGTTGCAGTAGTCCAGACGGGAGAGGACAAGTGCTTGAATTAGGACCTGCGCAGCTTCCTGTGTGAGGTAGGGTCGTACTCTACGGATGTTGTATTTGTACCCTGGGAGGGTGACACTGTGGAGGAAGAGCAGCTCTGTCTTGTCGAGGTTGAGCTTGAGCTGGTGGGCCGACATAAAAGTTGAGATATCTGCCAGGCACGCAGAGATGCATGTCGCCACCTGGGTGTCAGAAGGGGGGAAGGAGAAAAGTAGTTGAGTGTCATCCACAAAGCAATGATGGGAGAGAAGAGGAGAGAGCCTAGAACCGAGCCCTGGGGGACGCCAGTAGTGAGAGTGTGGTGCAGACATAGATCCTGTCCACGTCACCTGGTAGGAGCGACCTGCCAGATAGGATGCAATCCAACATTGTGCAGGGATGAGTTGATGAGGGAAGTGTTGGAGGGGATTGGGAAAGGGTGAGGTCAAAAGAGGCAAGGAGGGGAAAAAGGGAGTTGGAAAGAAATTAATCGAAGGCAGACGTCGGGAGGTTGAAGTCTCCAAGCACAAAGAGCGGTGAACCATCATCAGGAAATGAGCTCATCAACTCTCAAAGGGCACCTGGTGGGTGATAGATGACAATAATGTTAAGATTGACTGGACAAGTAACAGTGACATCATGGAATTCAAATGAGGGGATGGACAGGTGAGAAAAGAGAATCTCCATTTAGGAGAAATTAGTAGACCTGTGCCTCCACCGCGACGACCAGATAGACTGTGAGAGAAAACGTAGTCAGATGAAGAAAGAGCAGCTGGTGTAGCAGTGTTCTCTGGGGTGATCCATGTCTCCATCAGGGCCAAAAACTCAAGGGACTTAAGGGCACCATATGCTGAGATGAACTCTGCGTTCTTCACCGCAGATCGCCAGTTCCAAACACTGCCAGAGACCCGGAATTACACATGGGTTGTGTGGGCAGGGTAACCAGTGCTAACCTGAGAAAAAGTACATTTTGCATATAGTCGTGGTCAAAAGTTTTGAGAATGACACAAATATTAATTTTCACAAAGTCTGCTCCTCAGTTTTTATGATGGCAATTTGCATATACTCCAGAATGTTATGAAGAATGATAAGATGAAATGCAATTCATTGCAAAGCCCCTCTTTGCCATGAAAATGAACTTAATCCCCCAAAAACATTTTCACTGCATTTCAGCCCTGCCACAAAAGGACCAGCTGACATCATGTCAGTGATTCTCTCGTTAACACAGGTGAGAGAGTTGACGAGGACAAGGCTGGAGATCACGCTGTCATGCTGATTGAGTTAGAATAACAGACTGGAAGCTTTAAAAGGAGGGTGGTGCTTGAAATCATTTATATTCCTCTGTTAACCATGGTTACCTGCAAGGAAACAAGTGTTGTCATCATTGCTTTGCACAAAAAGGGCTTCACAGGCAAGGATATTGCTGCTAGTAAGATTGCACCTAAATCAACCATTTATCGGATCATCAAGAACTTCAAGGAGAGAGGTTCAATTGTTGTGAAGAAGGCTTCACGGCGCCCAAGAAAGTCCAGCAAGCGCCAGGACCGTCTCCTTAAGTTGATTCAGCTGTGGGATCGGGGCACCACCAGTACAGAGCTTGCTCAGGAATGGCAGCAAGCAGGTGTGAGTGCATCTGCACGCACAGTGAGGCGAAGTCTTTGAGGATGGCCTGGTGTCAAGAAGGGCAGCGAGGAAGCCACTTCTCTCCAGGAAAAACATCAGGGACAGACTGATATTCTGCAAAAGGTACAGGGATTGGACTGCTGAGGACTGGGGTAAAGTCATATCAAAATAGGCTCTGCCATACTCTAATGCAATGTTCCCTCTAAGCTGCGAGCGCGTGTGTGCAGTAGCCCCGAGACTGCCGAGCAGCTCCCCCGGGTCTGCCACGCAGAAATATATCAGCCCACAGAGAAGACGAGATTGAACTTCACTCAACTTTCTAGAGCAGTGGTCATCAACCGGTCGATCACAATCAACTGGTCGATCTCCAAGGCATTCCTAGTCGATCGTCAAACATTTATGTAAAAAACCCAAGGATAAAGCCTTGTGTTCTTATTTTGTTTTATTAGTCTCGGGCTGTTGGCGGTAAACGCACCCGATTCAGCTGCCCTGAGCGCTGGGTAGGGGAACTGCTGCAATTTTAACCATTTCATATGTATGAAGGTACAGACTCCGCCTTCTCGGTGGGTCCAGAGAGCAAATCAAGTGCACTATAGGCATACCGCTGGCCAATCGGATGGGTCAGAATACCATGTGCAGTAATTTAGCAGGCATAAAAGAAAGCTACAACAAAGT